TCTGGCAAGTCCAGAGAGACTTCAAAGAGGAAATGACCTATATACTGAATTTTTGAAGCATTATGTTACCATCTAAGAATTGGAGAATGTCGTCCAATGAAAACTCACAAGTCATAAAAGAATATAAAATATTTGAGGACAGAGAGAAGTTCACTGTGTCAGTAACACTAGTTATTAGAAGAGGAGCTGGTGTTGATCAATGATGAATTTGGAAAAGGTGAAGAAGGGCTCTGTCTGTAGTTCTGAAAAATGTAAATCTTAGTCTTAAGGGTAACAGAGAAGCCAGTCAAGCAGAGAAGTGAAACCACTACAGTGTTAAACTGTTAACTCCCTACCCAGGAAAAAGGTGCCTGTTAATCGTTGCTTTTTGTTAACCCAAAAAGTCTCCCTTTAACATGTTTAATAGAAAAATGTATATGCATATAAATTAATTTGCTATTATGTTTGTATCATTAAACTACCAATTTTAAGAGCCATTATAGCTTTTTTGAATTACTATTTGAGATATTTTAGTCAACAAATTATTCAGAAAATCAATTGCTTTATCAAATGCTTATGATAATCTTATTGAAAATATTCTCTACAATGTGGAAAACTATATTGTCTGAGCTAAAGTTTACATAAACATTTCTTTCTTGTTAACAAAGTTACAGTTTTAGAGTATATTGAACAATTCAAGCATCATGTCTCTATGAAAATTGAAACTAACAATGCTAATGAAATAATGTACCAAATTTTAATAGAATCAAAAATTTTCACAATGTGACTTTCTTTGTCAAAGTGATCATGGGTTTAAAAAAGCAGGGACAATAATTTAAATGCTATGTGATACACAGATTTCTAGAAAGCAGCTGTGCAAACAAAGGGAAGAACCTTATGGAAAACCATGACACATTAAGAGACCTGTTGATTACATTGCATGTCTAATTCAAGATATTTTGCTTATACAAAATCAAGAGCATAACCTCCAAAGAGTAATTTGGAAAGTTACACATTGCTTTCATTTTATTTGATTCATGTTTTCTACTTAACAAAATACCACCAGCTGTGTGATTCTAAATGCTTAGATTGCAGTAATGCAGATTTTGCTCCAAATGCATTGAACTATTTAATGCATATACATAAGATTTCTGAATTAATGTATATGATAATAACAAAATTTAATCATTTCAAGATAAGAATGAAAATAGAATGCTTTAAAATGTCACATTTAGTAAATATCTGGTAACAGTAGTTTTCCAAGTGGCACACATTTGTCTTCTTACTAGACAGACAAAAAACACAATGAAAGGTAACATTTTAGTTTTAAGCATTTGACTGAAAATAAATAAGTATCATATCTTATGAAAAAACATAAAATGAAAATTCAAAACAAAATAATAGGAGAATAGCAATAGTTAACATGTTTTGTATTTTTCTCTTCGAAGTAGTTACTCAGAGTATACAACCTAGGGACGTAAAAAGTTCTCCAAACGATATTAGCACAAACCTTCCTTTTCTATGAACTAAGATAAACTAGTATAAATTTATATCTTTCCCTTCCTTACTTGCTCCTTTCCCCCATTACTTCCTCTTTACTTTTGAACAGTTTCTTTCCATTTCACAATATTTCACATTTTGATCTTATTTAATCCTTCAGTTTCTCGCACCAGGGAGACAATACAGGGTTTACACAATGTGTAAAGTGACTTATTTCACTTATGAGTATGGCCTCAACAATTTACCTGTAAAAGTCTCATTTATCCTTTTTTGTGGATGAATAGTATTCCATTGTATAAAAAGACCACATCTTTCTTCTCTGTTACTCAATTGATGGTCCCTCGGGTTGTTTCCAAACCCAGAGTGTAAAGGAAATACTACAAAGAATCAACAACTGCAATCTCATCTTGTTAAAAAGCTTTTGCACAACAAAATAAATCACAAACAGAGTGAAAAGACAACCTACAGATTGGGAAAAAAATTGTAGCCAGTTGTGCCTCAGATAAAGAATTTATATCTAGAACATATAAAGAATTGAAAAAATCAGATCCCCCAAATTCAAAGACCCAATTCAAAAATGAGCATCTGAGATGAAATCATACTTCTCAGAAGTAGTAGTAAAAATGGTAAATAAATATATGAATAAATGTTCAAACATCATTGGTCATTCAAGAGATGCAAATTAAAATGACACAGATATTCTATTTCACTCTGGAAAGAATGGCTGTCATCAGGAAATCAACCAATAACAAATGCTGCAGGGGGTGTAGGGGAGAAAGGCATCCCTCTCCATTGTCCATGGAAATGTAGACTGTGCAATCACTGCTGAAATCAGCATGGAGATTCCTCAAAACACTAGGAGCAGAGGGCCCATTCAACCCAGCTAGTCCCCTTCTTCGTATTTTTCCAGGATAATTAAAAACATCATATCACAGTGATATATGTGCACCTATATATATTTGTAGCAGCACATTTTGCAACAGTTAAATCTAGGATACACATCTTTTATTAGAAAACAGTTTTAAAACTTTTTGAAATAAACTAGTAGTAAAGTCTTTACCTAAATGTTTTACAAGTTCAAATAATTTTCAAAAGAACTTTTATCTAATGATAACTATAATTCTCTTGTATTTGTGAATCTTAAAGAATTTTTGTCTGAGATCTGTTATTTTCTTTATTATTTTCAAAGCTCCCAAGGAAATACTAGTTATGAACATGAGTAAATTAACTTTTAAATATCTTCATATATGTGTGTGTGTGTGTGTGTGTGTGTGTGTGTTTAACAGATGTAGTCTCACTATGTTGGCCAAGCTACCTCAAATTTGTGGGCTCTAGCAATTCCCTTGCCTCAGTTTCCCAAGTAGCTGGGGCTACATATTAAAATGCACAAATTGCAAAGTTTATAAGAGACATTCCTGCAATATTTCCCCTTGAAAATACTACCTATAGTATTGCAAAAAGCATATTGCCATATATTTTCTCTAAATGTTATAATTTATGTATAAGAAAGAAAGGAAAAACACACCAAATCTTTGATATCACAAATATCTTACATGAGGATTCTTTTACCTTTTTTAATATTTTCTATTCTTTCTGTACCACTGATTCCTATTCACAGAAAACTAGATAATGATACATGAAGCAATAGCAAAAGAATTATGATAATGATGTTCATCATTCATTGGTGTGTGCACTAATTTCTTCCCTTTTCTGTGCATGTTGACATCAGTGTCACTTTTGTGCCTCCAAGCACCAGCCTGTGATGCTCTCTCACAAGGTACCAGTTAGCGCTTTTTCTCTTCAAAGATGGCTAGATTCTCTCTGGTCTTTCCCTCCTGACATAGAAAGCCATGTAATTTCTGTTTCTCTATCTTTAAAGGGTAAATAATGTTCAGATCATCATCTGCTCTCCCTTGATTGCTGCCGCATCTGTTTTCAGTCATCCTCCACATACCTGCCAAGACTTCCCTTCATCTTCCGACCTTTCCTCGTTGACCCTGATCTCTGCACCTCTTTTCTCAATTTGCACTGCATTTTCCTAGCTTTTACTCCTAAACCATCCTTCTATTTCACATCAAATTCATTGTTTTTATACACTTCCTCACTCAATACTGTACATTTTTTTGCTATGTTCACAATATTTAAGTACTTGTGGTAAGATCCAGATGTGTACATTGAACAGCTTTGCCAAACACCAAACATAATATTAACAGTATGTTTACAAACCCTCTAATATTATTTAAAATATTTTCTAATTCATATAACCAGACAGAATACCAAATGTGTAAAATAAATAAACAAATGATTTATTTATTTATTTTTAAAATTAACTAATTAGTTAAATTATTTGGTACCGTGAATCAAACCCAAGTTCTCACACTTGCCACACAGGTACTTATACCACTGAGCTAAATCCCAGCCACAAATAATTTAATTTTTAAAAAATTATCAAAATATTTAGGTTAAACTGAGAAATCTGTATTATAAAAGTTTTAATTTTTGAAAAAGTCTCAAATTTTTATTATTTAATTATGTCATTGTTGATTGTACCTAGTAACATTTTAAACATATTAAGTAACATATTGTCTGAGATATGTTACCTAATGTTATGTAATATTTGTCTGAGATCCATTATTTTCTTTATTTTCAAAGCTCTCAAAGAAATACTAGTAATGAACATGAGTAAATTAACTCTTAAATATCTTCATTTATATAGATATACATATATAATATAACATTAAGTAACATAACAATACTTTATAAGAACTCATAATCATGAAGCAAACTATGCAACAATGTCAAAATTATTGTCATGCTTTTTATATAATACGTGTGTGTGTGTGTGTGTGTGTGTGTGTGTGTGTCTTTAGATCTAGACAAGCAAATCAGAATTAGAGTGCCAATTTCTATTTTCTAGCTGTATGATTTGGGTAGATTTTTTACTTCTGCAAGTTTCAGTTTCTGTAAAATTCATATAATACTAGTATATCTCATAGAAGTAACTGTGAAGATGTTAAGTGCTTGCTGTTTAATAACTGATGATCAACAAACTATATTGCTATGTTTGTACAATAATTGCCACTTTTTATTACTTAGCAGAAACTCAAAATACTTCTGCCATATTTCTTGTAAATTGATTTTTGTTTAGGTGTCTTTGTCTCAGAGATACTATGATGGCTTTTGTTAGTTGTATAATTATAAAATTTGAAATTAAAAATTGCAATTATTGATAAAGATTTCAGAAATCAGATAGAAATTAACAAAACCTGACTAGTGTTTTCATCATATATATACTAATATATATCTGTAGATATTCTAGTCTAGGAAAACAAGTATTTGTGAGATACACAGATTGGTCCCTTAAATGTGGCATTAACCTTAGTGTAAAGCTATTTAATTTTTAAATTTATTATAACTGTAGAATTTTAAAGCCATGTCCTAAATTATTAAACACATTTTCCTAAACATTTTCTATTTTTAACATAACTTTTTTTTTACTAAAATCTCCACATTTTATAAAGATGACATGAACTACCCTACAGTTTTTCGGAAGCGGCTAAGCTGGAGACAGATCAGAGGTGCGGAGCTACCGCAGGGCAGCCCAGAACACCAGCAGCCCCAGGCGAGCCAGGTAAGCTGGTAGGCCGAAGGGTTCCACCTGCCAACTACCTGCCACGCGTATCAGTAATGCCTGCAGTCCTTGGGTGTGAAAGGGTTTTTTTGTTTGTTTTGTTTTGTTTTGTTTTGTTTTGTTTTTCTCTCACCAGGAGAGGGGGCTCCACCTGACCTCAGCTTGCTGAACTCTGACCTGTGCCCTCCTTTCTCCATCCTCCACCATGTCTACCCCCCACACCAGAGCTGCACTGACATGGTAAGAGATAAAACCTCTGTTACATAGGCACATAAGAATATTACTATTTACCACGGCTGATTAGTTTTCTTAAGTGTACATTGGACAAGAATACCAAAAAAAAAAAAAAAAAATCAGCTCAGAATGAATAAAGAAAAGAGATTTTGCATTCAAATAGAAATTGTTTTATCTAATCATGGCATGTTGAGCTGTGCAGTGAGTCTAAGAGGTCTCTATTTTAGGAAGGGGGACAAATGCATTCTCTGTAAAAGATTATATTGTAGCACTTTGATAAACTACCACTTTTTCCAAATGTATAGGAATGTTTGATAATAAAAAGTTATTGAAACAGAAGGATATGCTAGGAAAACAACTCTACGTTTAAGAAACTAAACCAGCATATAATTAATCATAGAAATATTCTATATATCTTTTTTATTACTTTTGCTTTTTTTTTTCTGGTACAACAGCTGAAGGAAGGAATAACCTCAAAATCAGTTAATGTTGGAAACCAAGAAATGTATTCTATTTAACCCCTGTGTTATTTTATTTTTCTTTACACAGTAATAAAATATCTTTCTCTGCTGAAGCTGTATTTTTGTGATATAGAAATGTGGGGTAGGTAAGTTTCAAACACACTTATCTTCTGGACTCAGACCTTGAACAATAACAAACTTTAACCATTTTCTTAGCAAAATTTAAAAAATAATCAGATTGAGCTTTAAAAAGAAAAGCAGGTTACAATTCTCTGATGTCATTTAGTTAGCTAATAGAAACTCCTTAGTGTACACACTGTTCTTTCCTTGAAAGACTCATAAACTTCTCTAGGCAACACCTAGATAAATTATCCATTTATTAAATTCTATCATGCTTATAATTCACCTTTGAACTCTTAGAACAGATTTTTAAACAAGGCAGCCAAAATTTCCCTTTGCACCTGCAAATAACAATTAAAGCAACAATTAAGGATCATTTCCTCTTCTTTGAAATTCAAATAATGGCATTAAAACAAGAGAGTAGTTTTTTTTATCTGCATCTGGTCAGGCTATTTCCTGACATTTGAGATGAAGTAGCAATATGAATGTGTAAAAATTCTACAGAAAGAAGCTGAGGTAATTCCTGAATGACTTTAGCAATGAAGGCAACTTCTAGACCAAAGAATACATAGGTACGTAAAAATACCGTGCAGCTCTAAAGTTGTAGGATGGAGGGCTTCATTTTCTAAGAAGAAAACTAAACAATACTAACACCTATGTGAAATACTTCAAAGTAAACAGTATTTCTAGTACTCATAGGATGATTTTTTTCACAGAATTTTACAACACTCAGTGCCATTTACCCTTTTTCACACAGTCTTATGTCCTTGCCTTATATCCATTTCTGTATACATATTCTTTGGCATGGCTCCCAATTCTTTTCTGTCAGAGTTCGATTCTAGACAGTCCAAAGTTGCTCCCACATAACCCCTCTTTGAAGCTCAAAGATTACATTCAATGTCTGTATTAATCTGTAATAAACTGATGTGTGTTCCTAATTACTCAATTCTTATTGTTGCTTGACTTTCTTATGTCATCTGAAAAAGACCTTGTCGTTAACTGCAAATACTAGTTTTCTATATTTAATCATTTTCCAGTAGAGATCTTTGCCACTACTGCTTCCCACATTGGCAATATCTCTGTATTCAAAATGCAATATACAGGACAAAACACTAACAAGCAACAAGAAATTTACAGTACCATTGTATGTTTCATAGCGCATTAAGTATTTTATAGATATCACACATTTTAACATCAACTGTCCCAAATATTTATTTCAAACTTGTTCTCTAAATAAGATGCACTCCAAAAAGACTACGTGACTTGGGCAAAATCACATATTTACAAAATCAAATGAGGTTTTCTGATGACTATGTTGGTTTAATTATAGTAACTTTTGTCTCTTTAAAAAAAAATAACAAAGTTTAAGCTTGAAAAATAAGCCATCAAAACACCATAATGGGACTTTCCTGTCTAAACTGAGGTCATTTTGTTTACAACTTTTTCTTTACTTCTTCAAAATAATTTTTAAAAGGTAGATTGCTGAATCCTAGCCCCTATTTAATTTGCTAATAACACAAACTCCTTTATGTACTTCTAAAATAACTGCATTATAGATTAAACCAAACTATGAAACATATAAAAACTATTATAAAGAAGGTATCAATGTTTTGGTTTTATTAGTCTCTAAATACTGCAATAAAAGCAATCTCCAAAAATTTAAGAAGAAAGGAAAAAGTATAGATATGTGGGACACCATTTGGGAGCATCTATAATCTACTTATTAATATGATACCACATTACTCAAAACAGAGTTATACACAGGACAGTGTAGAAAGTCAAAGCAAATTAGAACCTCTGAGGTTACAGCCAATGAGGGGCTTTGATGGAAAGGGGCTGTGTAAATGTTAGAAAACATTTCACTGAAAAGGTGAAATGTCTAGGAGAAGCTTTAAGCATAGGCATGATCTTAAAAGCCAGAATGCTTCAGAGCAGAGGACAGAGCATAAGCAAGCATAGAGAAGTGAAGCACTTAAAGCACATTGAAGAATAGCTGACAGCTAGAGCAATGTTGAGACAGGATTTTGAGGACAATATGGAGAAGTATAGTGTATGATTAGACATTGTATGTCATCCAATAGCAAGTGGGAAACTAGTAAAAATTTCAGAACAGCTTACAGTACATTTTTACAATAATATTACAGTAATTGATAAGTTTACAGTAGATATTTTTTGAAATTTGATGTAAAACCTGTATGTATGAATTAGACACGGAAACACTGCTACAATCAATTGAAACATGGATAGACTCTGCCATTTCTCAAGTGTTTCAAAAAGTTTTCTCAGTATTTTTAGATTGATTCTCAGCTTCTTCCATTTAATCTAGGAATAACCAGTGGAAAACTCAGCATTGTTATGAGTGTAAAGGAAATTTAATCTATTTAATTCAATAAATATTGTGTTACTAAAAGTGGTATTATTAAAAAGGAGCACAAATGACTATATTAGCACTAATGTAAGAGCAGAGGTATAAAATCTGAGAGACCTAAAAAGACAGAATATACAACTAGATTACTAAATAAAATACCACTTTAAATACTGGGATGAGCTCAGTAAATAGTAAATCAATTTTTATAATCTTAGGGGCTGGGGATTTAGCTCAGCGGCATAAGCGCCTGCCTTGCAAGCAGGCAGTCGTGAGTTTGATCCCCGGTACCGATAAAAACGAAAAAGACCAAAAAACAATTTTTATAATCTTAATAAACCTCAATTATAGGTTTATGACAAGAATCTTTTCTCAAATTAGTATTACTGACATTAAGAAATGATTTTACTTAGAAACAATTACCTATTTGTCACTTTTTAACTAACTTATAGCATGTGTAAAGCATGTGATCAGATTGAAAGTGTTTAAAGATAGCTTTATAAGTACATTGTAATTGAAAGTCCCTGCTCGATCTACAATCATGAAGATATTGCCAAATTGATAGTGCCTGTTCAACTTCAGTAAAGCTTTAAACAGGTAGTTTCCATTTAATTGAGAACAGTGTGTTATGGATTCTGAAATTATCTGCTACTAATTGAGTTGAAGCCACTAATAGGACTTGAATTCACACTCTGTTAATGGCCTTCCAATAATATAAAGTATTAGATACCTCAAATCAGGTTAGATTTTAAGAGAGGCAGATAGAAAACAGGCTGAAGGCTCTGGAACCAATACAATTATTTTGGTCAGACATCAATAGAAAAAAACAAAAAACGCAATGAGTGTGAAAAGTCAAATTTGATGCTGGCTTAAAATTTTTGAAAGAAAGTATGTGTGGGTTGTAAAGAAAGGCCCTAATCATTTGTTGTCCTATTTAATAGTGGTTTTGTTTTGGTTTTGGGATTAGGGATCAAACTCCCAACCTCATACTTGCGGGCAGACACTGTGCCCCTGAGCTACATCCCCATCTCTACAAACCTCTTAGGAAGTGGTTCTTGGTACATATCACAGCTTGTTTCCTTTTAAAAATTCCTTTCCCCTTCCCCTTGCTTACTCCTCAACTTCCCCATCCTGTTTTTCATTCCTTTTGATTAAGAGTATTAATCTTAACTCATTTTATGGCACATAATGTTTAACTTAAAGTTTTTCTCATCATCAACATAAATTTTGACTGGAGGACATTATTTACAATTTCCTATTACAAATCCTACAAACATACATACACTCAATTCCAAACAGGATTGCTCCAGAGATTTGAATACTGACAACTTTACAAAGATAAGATTTTCAATTTGACAATATGAATGCAAATTTGGATTTTTTTTCCTTCTTCTTAATAAGCAATCAGTAGCAATCAAGCAAGCTAGCTGCCCCACCCAAATTCCAAATCTTGCCAGGACCATATAAGAATTTTTCTCCTTCCTGAATTATCAGTATCTAGGAGAGATACAATCCATCAGCTTCAGACAAGCACATGTTTTTATAATTATTCTAATTATGAGCGTATGTAATGCTTTTTGTTCTAAGTTTGCACACTTTTGAATGTTATAATCAAATTTAGTTTGTTTAAACTTCATTACAGGATTATATTTAATGAAAAAGCCGTCCTGTTAGCATGATAGAACTCAACCATCAGCTTGACAATGAAATTTAGTCAGAGTGCATTTTACAATCAAAAGATGTTTCTCAGGAAAAAAAAATTTGTTTATGTCCCTTGTCACTATATCAACTTTTTTGATTTCTGAAATTACCTTCATAGT